TGGTTCCATTGCTCTTAGGTAGGCCATCCCCCTTTTCTCCATCACCATGGCATCACCTGCCGGGAGCCCAGCCTGCAGGAGACAAATGAATCGGGTCAATGCCATAGACAACAGATCCTTAACCTGCTTGAATTGATAAGCAAGGGACACCTGCAGCATCTCAAGAGTCCACTGGAAACCTGATTTAGCATCCTAAATAGACATCAGCCTCCAGGATGAGACAAGGAAAGAGTGGCCAAGACCATGCTCTGGGCATAGCAAACTGTTTGGGTCTTCTCTCTTGTGCACACAAGAGCACTGTGTCTCCAGGCCACTTGCATCTGGGCAAGACCACATAGTAAGCCCTAGAGATGTGTAACAAAGGGATATCCACCATGTGTATGATTGGCCCATAAAAATGACCTCTTACAAGGAATCCCCCTCACCTATCCCTGCTGTGAAGAACTCCAAAACTATAGGTGAAAGCAGTGGCATCCAGGGGGAACGAGTCTAGATCCCTGAGACACTGGAAGAGAGCCAACCAGTCACATGACTGGTGATACCAGCATTCACTCTCCAAGAGCAAAATCCCAACTTGTCTTATGTTACTGGCATCGTAGGGGTTAACTAGGACCATAGCAGAACCTTTCGCATGCTGTCTCAAGCATTTGCTCCATGCCAGGCAACATACTAGACACTGACTGCTTATTTTTGTTCATTTGCTTTCACTTAATGCTTGCAACTTGGTGAGGCAGATTTTTATCCCTTACTGTAAGTACAAGGTAATTAACGCACGGAGGGGTTAAGCGACCTTCTCAGCTCACACAGAAGGGAATGTTAGAGCCAAGATTAATTCTGTGGTGACCTAACCACATAACCCATGCTCATTCTAATGGACCAGAGAGAGAATATATTCCCCCAAAACCAAGGACCAAGCCTTTCACTTCTAAGGTTATGAGAGAGGATCAGAAAAAGGGCTTCCAAGGTGGTTGGACCTCTCCCATTAGAATGCATTTCTTTGCTTATTCTAGAAACAAAGTTAAATAAGTTTTTTTTTTTTTTATGTATTCTGTGCACGGGCACAGAATCGACAAAGAATTCTTACACTCAGTTTGCAGAGTGCAGGGAAAGACAGCCTCACAAACGTACACTCAAGGTGCAAAAATGCAAAAAACACCTTCATGGAGAAGGGCTGAAGCAAGCTCAAAGACCCCATTCAAAGGAGGCTGCCTTAACCGGTCCAATATACCCTCTCCCAACTCGACCACTACCACTCACAAATCCACTGTGGCTTCATCAATGTGGAAGGAGCAAATACAGCATGTTAGGCATGATGGGGAAAAAAAAAAAAAAAAAAACAGCTGAAGACAGGAAAGAAAGAAAAGCAGTTTCCGACATGCCTGCCTGCTGAAAGGGAGTTTGCTATTTGGCTCCGAGCTTCCAATGGCCACTAGAAAAAGGAAAATCTGTTCAGATACTGGACACTCAGTGTTCCTACAACAAAAGCCAATTGCACAGGAAAATTACACCCATTCCAGGTGCTTGGCTCACCCAAGAATGTCTCCGCAGGACCACTGGTAACAGAAACCCCATGCTCCATCATGAACTGTATCTGAAGAAACACCCACACAAGGAGCACATGGCCAATTACATGAGACTATTTCTCGTTCTCCACATAAACTGACCGCATCACCCAAAATACAACAGGGGGAAAGCTACTCATTGGGGCTCAATAGGATTCAATCTAGAGTTCTGCTCCCCATTAGTCTGGCTTGACCCAGACACAAGTGTTAAAAGCTATTTTAGAGAAAAACATACTTAGTAAGTATTTCCTTTAAGCCATCCTCCCTGAATTTTCTTCCTCTCAACCAACAGATTGAGTAAGAGTAGTTACGAGCGCAGGATTACACATCCTGACAGCAACCCACGCTGCCGCGAGGTAGAGCCCCACTCTAGCTCACATCTCTTCCTCGTTTCTGGGTCCTCGTTTTGTGGTGTATGTGACAGATCACTAGGGAGCCCCGCCGTGGTAAAGGGAAGGATTCCAGCGACGCAGGAAGAACCGGGAACTCTCAGGAGCCACCAAGATGCAGAGCCACACTGCAAGCCAGGGACTGGCTACTGACAGCCACCAAGGGGCAAAGAAAGCAAAGACCAGTTGCTTCTGGACCCATAGCATGAAATATTCAAACCCTTGATAACCCTGAGTCTCACTGCTGTTCCTCTCACTATCTTAAAAATCATGTTTACTTTCTTGATGCAATTCCTTAGGTCCCTAATGCCTGACAGAAAAGGCTCCCGGCCGCCTCTGCAGGTGTTGGTGGCAGGCGACTTAGGAAAGACTAATGAGTGGAGAGGTTCCCAAAAGACTCATCTGGAAGCACCCCTCATTCAGTTTTAAAGAACAGGCAGACCCATTTAACTGATGTCAACCCGACCACAATCATTATGGGGGAAAACAAAAAATCCACCCCAGGAATAGGAATCAGCACATGTGTCCAGATCACACATCCTGGTTTGGAGAAGACCCACATAACTAGGGGAGGACAGGGCGAAGGACACAGCCCTACCTTCCTGCACCCAGAGAGAGGAGCTATTTCCCTGGACAAGTGGAGGTCAAAATGTGGCAAAGGCCCCAGATGCTCTGACGAGAGTCAAGCATAAAAAGTCAACAGAGAAATGGAAAACTGTAGCAAGGAAATTGGATTCTGGAAATCCATTTGGGTTTGGTAATGTATAGCAGATCAGCATCTGTAAGGGAAGTCAAAATAGTGCAGGATACATACTCTAGGATACATTAAAGCATAAATAAAGTTTATAGTGCCAATCAGAATTTTTTTTTAAACATGAGCTCTTCTTTTGAAAATGAGAAAGGAATAGAATTCAATAAAAATATAAATGCGTCTGCCTCTGCATTTCTCAGATATGAATCCTGTATTTTCTTGAACAGAATTAAGTTCAGAAGAGGAACTAAACATTTCCTGAGCTTCTGTTATATGCCAGGCACTGCACTTGAGCTGTGTAAGTATGTATTTATAGATGTGTGCATACAAATGGAAGTCCAATTACCCCCACTAAGACAGGGGATGACAAATTCCTCCGAAAAGGGCCCAACACTAAAAAATTTTCCACTTTGCAGCCATACAGTCTCTGCCACAACTACTCAACTCTGCCACTGTAACATAAAAGCCGCTGTAGACAATACAGAAACAAATGGATGTGGCTGGCTGTGTTCCAATAAAACTTTATTCACAAAGCCAGGTGATGGGCCCGATCTTAACCTAGGGGCTGCAGTCTGACACCCCCTTCTCTAAGAAAGAAACATTGCTTTCCCCGTTTTACACAAGAAAACTTGTCCTCAAAGTTACTAAGGGATGTGCCCAGCTAGGAATCTCAGGGAGAAAGAATGCCCTCGCATAAAGCAAGAACAGTACTAACATCTCCTTTTATTGGCCACTAAATGTGTACCCGTCACTGCACGCACTGCCATTCTGATTGTACCCATTCTATAGACAGAGAAGTAAACTAACCTGCATGAAGTAGTAGAGTCAAGACATTAGTCTCAGGTTGTAATGGCACCAAAGCCCGAATACTTTCCATTGCTCTAACCCTGCCCCTCTTAGGACACCGTGTGTGTGCACAGAATCCAAGTTTCACCCTGCTGCTTCTGGAGGGGCGGGGAGGGTTGGGTGGGGAGCTGTGCCTATAACATCCAGTGGTGAGACTAGTGAAGAGAGAAATCTGGAAAAAAAAAAAATATCCAAGAAAAGCAGAAATTTGTCCTCACTTGCTCTACATGGCCAGGTTCACTTCCAGCACAGCTCGAACTTTGATTGACACACGTGAACATGATCAACCACAGTGATGCGCCCTGAGGAGGGTAACAATGAAACACCGCATCCCCTGGCAAGAATACAGCTAAAACTCAAATATCCCCCTCAGGGTGCTCTGCGGATACATCCAGCACTGGGGACCTGGGGAAAGGGGGAAATGAAACCATAGGACAGTGCCCTTCTCTCTCCAAGCCCCAGAGCTCCACGAATACAGGGGCATGCCATATAACCCTTCACCAGCACCTAGTCCATAGTCTGTGTTTACCTTGATTGTTCAATGAATGGACGAACGCATTTAAAATAGATCTGCACTCATACAGAGAAGCCAGGCTGAGACCCCCACAGGGAGCTCTGGTGTATCTTCCACTGGCTTCCCTCAGGGGTCAGGATAAACCCAGTGTAGGCCTTGGAGCAGAGAAGGGCTCTGGGGCTAAGCCTTAGGCTGGACCCTTTGAAAGCATTTACCTTGGGTCTGCAAATGCTCAGGACAGAGGGCAAGTCTGAATCCAGAGAATGAAGGCAAGCCGAAGGATGAAGCCAGGAGAAACCATGAAGCTACCAAACGAGGGGAAAAAGGTGAGTCATGTGGAGGCCAAGGAGCATCAGAGGGGACATAAAAGTACCGGCAGCAGACCCAGAAAGAGAGCAAGCTGCTCAGGGTTAAACTATGAGCAGGGTTTGAGCAGGGGTGGTGGGCACCATGCCAGAAGAGCCAGGTAATCATGGTGCAAGGTCAAAGAGATGTAGACACAAGGCTACCAGGCAGACACAAATCTCAAGTCGATGTGAGTGGTAATAATGACAACCAACACTCCCTGTCAGGTGCTGAACTACACAGGCCCGGCGCTACTCTAAGGGTTCACCAACGTTAGCTCATTTAATTACTCCAAGCGCCCCATGAGATATGTATGGTCATTATCCCCCATCATATCAATAAGGAAACTGAGGCATAAAAATATTTAAAAACTAGCCTAAGATCACAGAAATCACAAGAGACAAAGGGAGGGCCTTGAACCTGGACTAACTCAGTCTACATTCTTACTAATTATACCAGGTTGTCATGACAATGAACTTGGAAGGCAACCTTGATCTTGAAAGGAAGTTCTGGTTGAGGGAAATGGCTGGCCGTAAAGCGCTTCTCCAATCCCTGTGAGAAGTACACTGAGCCAGCCTGCGTGCCTTTTTCCAAATCACAGCCTCGGCTCAAGATGTCTCTCCACAGTCTCAGAAGTCAAGGCATTCATGACAGAATGCTTTTTAACTCACAATAGAGGCCACGGTGTGCTGGGGAGAACAAGAAATGGAGGTGGGGTCTCAGGCAAGAAGGTGTATGGGGTGGAGGCTCAGGCCTCCCACAGTCATCCCTGATATGTGGGAAGTTCACACTTGGAAGTTATTCAGACTCAAGATGTGGCAGGACTAAATGCTTAGGGGCACAGGAAAGGGCAATGTGGTAGGACTACTTTTTATTATTCTTTTAACTCCGCATTTAGCAAACTTTCCATAAAAAGCCAGATAATAAATATTTCCACTTTTCTGATTTTATTGGTTTTCATAGCCTTGCAACAGACTAACACAACTTAGGGGCTTAAAACGGCACCCATTTATTAGCTCATGGGTTCTGCAGGTCAGGAGTCTAGACAAGGCTGGGCTGGCTTCTCTGCTCAGGGCCTCACCAGGCTGAAGTCACTCTTCTGGGGCTCAAATCCTCTTTGGAGCTCACATGGTATTGGGCAGAATTCAGTGTCCTCTGGCTGGCTGTCATCCATAGGCTACTCTCAGCCCCTAGAAACTGCCCACAGTT